TCTGCTGCTTCTTCTGCTGCTGCTTCTGCTGCTGCTTCTGCTGCTGCTTCTGCTGCTTCTTCTGCTGCTTCTTCTTCCTCTCTCCTCCTCCCTCTTCCTCTTCCTACTCCCCCCCCCCTTTTTTTATTAGCTATTCCATCATGTCTTAACCCATTGTTACAGGACATCTAACATCAAAGTGGCCTCTATTGATCTAGACAAAATGATAGTAACTCACAAATTGAAATTGTTTCTATTATAAACAATGAAATGGCTACTCGGCTGTGCATTTAGACAACCTTGATTTTACACCAACTAGTAAAAATATGATATATAAGAAGCATTAGGTATGCTTAAAAAAAAAAAAAAAAGGTATACCAGACCTAATATTTCAGTCCAATTGTTTACAAAACTTGAGTGATGTCCTTGGCTGAACTTCAGACTGGCACCCATGAGAATGAATATCTTGCCTACCCTTAAAGTTACACTGTTGTGAGCTTAAAACAGGAACTTGGGGTCAAACCCCCTAATCCCTTGCTCATTGTTGTTATATGGAGCTTAGGAGGAGGAGACTGAAGCCTGATTTAGGGATCACCCCTACCTTGGACCTCGGCCCTCACCTCAACTAATTTTGCATGGGCTTTTCTTCTCCCTCTCCTTTTCTATCTCATGCTCATCCCCTTCTTCTGTCCACTTATTCAAATTGTTAACTCATATTTACCCTTTTCACCACAGTACGTTGCCATAATGCTGTGTGACCTTTGATGTCTGATACATTTGTTTGTTTTGACCATTGACCATTCTGGAAATCCACAAACATTGCCTTACTAAACCAAAAAACTTTCTTTGCCTTGGAGCTTTGCCCCCGGGCCCCACCCTATCACTATATAGATGAAAAAATAAAACAAGTAGCTACTAAACATTCAGAAGTGTCTGGTGAGCTTATGCTAGCACTGCCCACACTCCCAATCCTTGCTTGTTGCCATATGGGGGTCTTAGGAGGTGGAGACTGGCCCAATGTAGGGGATCACCCCTGCCGTGGGCCTCAGCCCCTGTGTCAACTAATTTTGCATGGTATTTTCTTCTTTCCTTTTCTTTCACTTCTTCATCCTTTCTGTCCAATTATCCTAGTCATTAATTCACTTTTACCCTTTCCACCACAATACTTTAATGCTGTGTGACATTTGATGTCTGGTTCCCTTGTTTGTTTTGACCTTTGACCATTCTGAAAATTCACAAACGTTGCCTTGTGAATTAAAGAAAAAAAAAATCTTACCCGGGGGCCTTCGCCCCCAAGCCCAACCCTATCGCTTTATTTTAATACACTGCTAATAACTGTAGGTGTTGACATGACAGAAAATTTTAATAAACAAATAGATAAATAGCACTGCCCACTTAATGTTCAAAGTAGAAGTGTTGATACAGCTAACAATGACCTATCCAAGCTATTACTCAGGCTTAGTTAAGGCAGTAGGCCAACCATGGCCAGTTTTGCCAATAGCTACTGATAGGATTAGACCTAGGGAAATGCTAAATGCCATGTTGCTGATAGGGACATCATCTTTGAGTTAAATTACTATGGTTTTCTAATAATAGTTCAAAGGGTACATATGGCACTTTCAATTAGGCTCTGTTGGAACTAACATAAAGGGCAGAAAATAAATCTTACAGAATCAGTTGTCTAGATATTTATTTATAAAATCAGTTTGCACAAGTATATAACCAAGAACAGTTTATAGCATGATGGAATAAGGTTATGAGGAAGTATATTGAAATCAGTCAGAATATGCAGGAGGCCCTGTTCCTTTTGTTAGTGCTGTAGACAGATGTCATTTACTGTCCAACCTACAAGGTGATAACATTTCATAATAAATTTGCTGAATAATATGAAAATACTTCTCTGAATAATTCTACAATTACTTTTGTAATACAAAAACTCACTTGTGAATATACCTTTGCAAAAAATGAAAGGTAAGGAGAGGTTTGTTATAAAATGAAACAAGTTTAAATCTAAGTATATATGTCAGGAGGATAAAAAATGTTTATACCACAATTTACTCAACAGTCATTTTTAAACTGTGAAGTCAGTTTGAGAATAAAGCAAGGCTTCTGAGATGAAAGGTTCTCATAATTGTCATGGTCACTGCAAAAGTAAACAAAAACCATGATAGGACCAAAGTGCTTATCAAAATGAAAGTCTGTAACCGTATGATCTTCATATACTGATGTACATACAGCATTCTTAGAGCTTAACTTTCTCTGCATGTTGCCTCACTATAGACTGGAAACATGTACATACAGAAATTCAGAATAAGTTTTACCCACTGAATGGGTTTCTACTTGGGAAAATAATGATGATGATCATAATATACTTTAGTAATCCTCACACAATAGTAGTATAGTGTAGTATAACAATTAATTTGCTAAGTGACATGAACGGCAAAGTTTTTTTTATTATTTATTTATTCTTTTTTTTATTCTCTGATGAAAAAGTTAAACTGCTAGACTTTCCTCCCATGTGTTTGACCCTATTTGCAGGTAAAATCAATAATCAAGCATTTATAGAAGAAATTTTAACCATTTACCCTAACTTCATCCTTTAACAAGATTTTCAAACTGCTGTTGATAGTTAAAAGTTTGTTGTGGGAATACAGTTATTGAATTGGAAATGTAAAAGATCATTGCTATGTTGTGCAGTTCAACAGTTATACAAGGTAATGCCAGATTTTTTTTTTTTTTTTTTTTCTTTAGTTTGATTTAGTTTAGTTTAGTTTTATGAGTTAGTGATAAATCGCAGTGCTTTTTTTCTTCTTAAATCCCTAATGCATTTAATATTACAATTCTTGAGATGTTTTTGAAATGTTACTTTTAATTAGTAATTTGCACAGAAGCATTAAAAAAGGTAGTTCTATAATTTCTACTGATTCATCAAACCAAAATCTATCCAGGGAGGAAATGAAGTACTTTAGCCGCATGACGAAGATGACAAAGTCATCAGAGAAGCAGAATGCTGTCATGATGGGCCGCAAGACATGGGAATCCATCCCAGACAAGTTTAGGCCCTTACCTGGTCGCCTGAATCTGGTGATTTCATCAAGAGCAAAGTGAGTACTGTTTTATGATGACTATGTTTGCCAGGTTGATAATGGGCTTAATTTAAAGATTTTCAGTGGGAAGATAAAGAAATTTCAAAAGGAGAATCATGAATTTATTCATTGTAATCATGAGTTTATTCACTGTAACTGAATGAATGAGAAGGGCTTTAATTATCAGTGATTTGAAATTATAGTCTACTCATTGCTTCTTATGCATTTCCAGTTTGTATAAAAATCTCTCATTTTTGAACAAGACTACCATGGAACCACATAAGGTAAATTCAGAAATGGTATATATTCAACACGAGAGCTGCCCAAAAGCATGTAGAATACAAATCTGTAGTGCATTTTTTTTTTTTTTTTTTTTTTTTATCATTTGGGCAGCTATAACAGGCTTAAGCTTCACCCCAAAAGCATTGTGTGTCCTGTGATTATGCATGTTCAGGGAGAACACCAGGAGGAGAAGGATGTTTATTGCAGTTGCTGTTAGCATTACTTGGAGTGCAATTGTGTGTTTTTTTCTCCCCCTTTTACCTTTTTTAAGTATTTTTTGTTGTTTTGTTTTGTATAGGTGAGATTATGTGATTTCTGAATCCTATCAAATTCTGGCAGAAAAAATATGTATACAAAACAAGTTTAAAAGAAAATGAGACAACAGTTTCAAAATCTATGTGGACTTCATTCACAGGTCTAACCTAGAAGTGAAATTCAGGAGTGTTTTTTTTTCTGCCGTTTTGACAAGATATATTTTTTTGGCACTTATAAAAAGGTCAATTAGAATTGTTTGTGTGTGATGTGATTTATATTTTTCTTTTAGCAATACTGGTTTGGTTTACTAATATATTTTTTTGAATTTTACATTTTTGCAAATGGTGACTGTTTTTTATGGATCTTTGTCATTAGAATATATTTATTGCATGATTTTTGTATAAAGACAGGAAAACTAAGGGAGAATACTATTTCTATATGTGGAATGGTAATAGCTGATTGTGGGACAAGGGAAGGATTGTGGTGTATGGTTGGATGGAACTAGACAGTACCAGAATTATTCTCACACTCACTTAGTTCCATCCACAATAAAAAAGGAGAAATGCTGGTTATGTGATTGCATCAGAGAGAGAAAAGGCTATGAGGAGTATAGGAGTAAGTTGAGATATTAACTGTTCACAGCAAATAAAATTGTGAAAAAATACCTTGACACTAGTTGACATCTCATAGAAAATGATGCCATAGGGCTATATACTCTGTGGCCAATAGGACTTTAGGGCTGATTTTAGATAATATGCTATGATTAAAATTTATATATAATCTGTTCTTTATGTGATACAAACTTCAATTGTTTTCCTTGAACACAAAGGAACCCTGGTCCAGAATTCAATGGATCAACAGTGTGTTCTAGTTTTAAGGAAGCCATTGACAAGGTTCACAGTCGTGCAGAAGTGGAGAGTGTGTGGGCCATTGGGGGATCTTCTATATATGAGGTGAGAACAGTTCATGTGAAAGATGAGTGTCATGTTCTTCCCAGGAAAACAGTGTGGAAGATTGTACTGAGTTTGATTTTTTTCTTCTTTTTTTTAGCAAACAGTATTTCAGTATATACTACTTGTAAAATGAGAAGAAAATTATTTTGTCTTTAAAAGGATTGTGGATAAAAAAAATCTGTAATCACTCTAGGTTTGTATAAGCCTTTTTTTCTTGCAGATGGCATTAGAATCAGATCATCTCCACCGTATATATCTTACGAGGATATTAAAGGATTTTGAGTGTGACACCTTCCTGCCATCATTTGACCCCAAGAAGTTCCAGATTGTGACGTGAGTATCAACTTTTATCACCCTTAGATATATCAGGCGCTTAGATAATATCCTTCAGTTTATGCATTACTTTTTGTACTGATTCTCAGGAGCAAGGGATCTTGACTTATTTGAGTAATTGTGCAAAATTGTCTCTCAGTTAAGATAAGCCATATTCCCATAAGAGTGAGAGAAACTTAATAACTTTCCCTTCATTTTGCTGTAAGGGTGATGACCCTATAGATCTGTGGAAATAATGATGCCAACCATTTGCAGCAGAATAAAATTGGAAGGGAAGTTAACTATGACCCAAGTACAGGTAGTGATTAACCCATTGCCGATGGCCATTACATGTATGTACATGCCATGCCCACTTTGAGTTTACTTGTTTAATTGTTTTTGCACATAGATGGCTACACTTGTACTAAGTCACCAGTGAACCAGTTATGAGTACTGCCCGTCTCGTTTGTTCACCTTTTCATTGATTTACGAAAATATTTTACATTATCTTACTTTGGTGTTACAAATGTTTATATTATAGTAATTATAATGTTTATAATAAAAAAAACACAATTGATATATATATAGTGCTAGTAAAAAATATGTTTTTCCTGCCAATTCAAGGAAAGGTGAAATCAGGTAAGGTCTCAAGATCTACTAATTAACTTCTTTGTGGCTAAGCACTAGCAGAGCCATCTGTGTACAGAAACATTTCACAAAGATATAAAAAATGAGCATTTTCCCCAGCGCCAATGGGTTAATATTTGGTGAATAGGAAAAGGAATCTGTCAGCCTAATATCTGGGTGACCCAATTTTGGGTTGCAGTGCACAGGCTTAGATACTCCTCTCCAGATTAGAATTGTTATCTAAAGCATGTAGGGGTGTGGTTGCCTGATGTTAAGTGTTTGCATTTATAATGTTACAGTTGATATTTGGGTGTTTACCTTGCATAGCAATATTTTATTCTAAAATTTGTTTTCTTTCTTTTGTACAGAGATCCCTTAGTTCCTAATGAAATACAACAAGAAGGAGATATCACCTACAAGTATGAAATTTATGAGAAATTGAAATAAAATTTTCCTTTACCTGCTTGTTCTGTCCATAATGCCTTGGATGTTTTTAAATATGTCATGGTAATGTCAGTTACATAATTAAAATACAAGAGAATTAATTACATTTGAGTTTCAATTTACATTTCATCTTACTTATTTTATTGGTACAAAAACAAAATACTTACGTACCACACAATTATCTCATAACCTAAAATAAAAAGAACATAAGCACAATATTCACGTGTTTTTCCCTCTTTCTCTCAGCCTCCAGGGTAGTACAAGGGTAACGTGTCGGCTTCTCATCTGAGGGGTCGGCGGTTCGCGCCCCACCTAGGCGTGAGAAGTTGCAATTGTCGCCTGGGGGTTACCGCTGTGGCTGGGCACCACGGCGGGTAAGGACTAGGCCGAGTCAGCACCAGCTGACACACTGTTAGCGAGTCGACATTAGTCGACAGAGGCCGGACTCCCCTCATAGCCCGGGCCCCCCCCAATCCCTTGCCCGTTGTTGTCGTGGGGGGGCTTAGGAGGTGGAGACTGAGACCCAATGATGGGGAACTCCCCAACCTTGGGACTCAGCCCTCGACTCAACTAATTATGCATGTTTTTTTTTTTCCCTTCCCACTTTTGTTTCTGTCCCTTCACCAAACCCTTCTGCTATCCACCTCCTAAGGTGTGAGAGCCATGCTGAAAGGATGAAAGGCTGACTTTGTGCCAGTCCTGAACAACCTGAGGGAGCCATGGGCAC